GGTAAGAGAGAAACAAGTAATTTTTTCCTAATTGTTTCAGAATGGGAAGGAGAGAGAATTTTACCTTCGAGGTCAAGTTGGCTAAAGTTAAATGAATTTATTATGAGGGTTTTACAAAATAACCTTTGAGGTCAATAATGTACCTACATTTAAGTACAGCTAAAAGTATTCTTTCATCTGCTAAAAGGACAAAGTTTTCTTGGACCATCCGATTTTCTTTCAATAATGTGAAAGGTTTTTATTCACCTTTTAAATAATCTGCCTAGGAAACAACAATTCTGTGTATTATCAAAATAATTTCCTCTGTTGTCTTAACAAGTTTTTGATTACTTAAGAAAACAGTGTTCGGGGCACCTGGGTGGCGCAGTCGGTTAAGCGTCCGACTTCAACCAGGTCACGATCTCACGGTCCGTGAGTTCGAGCCCCGCGTCGGGCTCTGGGCTGATGGCTCAGAGCCTGGAGCCTGTTTCCGATTCTGTGTCTCCCTCTCTCTCTGCCCCTCGCCCGTTCATGCTCTGTCTCTCTCTGTCCCAAAAATAAATATAAAAAAACGTTGAAAAAAAAAATTAAAAAAAAAAAAAAAGAAAACAGTGCTCTCTATTGCCAAGGTGTTTTTTTTTTTTTTTTTTTTTTCTGGCTACTGGAATTTTTAATTTTGAGCACACAATCTTTGTCACTTTGGTAAGTTATCTCACAGTGGCTTATGATACTGTTTGACCAAGCGTTCTAAAATCTTTTTTTTTTTTTTAATGTTTATTTTTGAGAGACAAAGAGAGATAGAGCACAAACAGGGGAGAGGCAGAGAAAGAGGGAGACACAGAATCCGAAGCAGGCTCCAGGCTCTGAGCTGTCAGCACAGGGCCCAATGCAGGGCTTGAACTCACAGACTGCAAGATTGTGACCTAAGCCAAAGTCAGATGCCCAACCAAAGGAGTCACCCAGTCTCCCCTAAAATCTTTTGATACTCTAACAAACTTCTCAAAATCGAATTCTAAAGCCATTTGTGACTTCGAAGTAAATTTGTGATTTTGCAAAGGATCCCTGGAATATTGCAAAAGATATGTTCTTTCTGCTTGTCAAATGTGCATTTCTGAACAAATTAGGTTTATTTGATAAGTCACATGGGAAACACTGTCAAATAAGAAGTAATACTTAAGCCTTCTTTATGTTGTTTTTCTATAGTTGTATGTTAAGTGTTCCAAAAATAATATAAAATTCCCAGAAATGTGATATGTGCTGGTATAATGTTGTCACTTGTAATTCTAGTCTTCATTTTTTTTTTTTTACTTTTTTAACATTCATTTATTTTTGAGAGAGAGAGAGAGAGAGAGAGAGAGAGAGAGAGAGAACGAGCGGGGGAGGGGCAGAGAGAGAGGGAGACACAAATCTGAAGCAGACTTCAGGCTCCGAGCTGTCAGCACAGAGCCTTGATGTGGGGCACGAACCCATGACCATGAGATTATGACCTGAGCCAAAGTCAGACACCCTACTGACTGAGCCACCCAGGCACCCCATTCTAGTCTTTACCTTAAGATGTGTGCCAGAGAGATAACCAAATAACCAGGGCCATTTTTAAGTTTGTTATTTACAAAGAGTTACTGTTCTGCTCTGTTGCATTGTGAATATGTTTCATCCTCAGATTCATGGAAAGGACTCTGACAAATACTGTAGTATATTGTTTCTCATAATTTTAAGATCATACCATTTAATTGGGTAAGGATTTGCAGAACTCTGATGGAGATACATCATTTCCTAAAACTGCAAACATAATATCCTGATCAATAAGCATTAATTTTATGGGACTGAATGGACTAATGAGGATGACTATAATTTTTATAACTTTTTGTTTGAAACATTACTGTTTTTTAATGTTATGTTTTTCCACTTTTAAGGAAACTTGATAACAAACTGGTAAAGTATACTTTTGTAAGCAAAGACAAAACCTTAACCTTTTCTCCCTACCTGATCTCTCTGGAACTCAGAAACTTCTTAGTATTCTTATTTTCATGGCAGTACAGTTATTTGCATAAGTTCAATAAGAATCGGTTCTCCTTGTAACGAGACACATTTGGATACGTTGGTTATGTTGCCAAAGTTTTGGCTGGAATGTCATATTTGAGAATGTGCATAGAATCGCATTATGACCAGACAGCTTTAAGGAACTAAAGCGGACTTCATGAAGCCATTAAATCCCCTTGGAAAAACAGCCTGGTACCTTGCTTTCAGGATTCCCAGCAGCCTTACCAGCTAAACAGGGTCACTTCCTAGCAGGCTCAGAAACCTTGGGATATTTTGGAGACCTCAAGAAAAGAGGAATTTATCCACGTCTATAGGTATAGCAGGCAAAGTCTTATAGCAGGAACTTTGCTTGGCTTCCTAGCCTCAAGAGTCTTTTGAAAGTTGAATCAGAGTCATGCCTGGCTGGCTCAGTCAAAGGAACATGAACTCTTGATCTTGGGGTCATGAGTTCAAGCCTCATATTGGGTGTTAAGATTACTAAAAAAAAGAAAAGAAAATTAACTTTTTAAATCATAAAAAATAAAAGGTCAATCTGAGATTCCTTATGAAAAGTTCCAGCAGATTTAAAAGAGCCTGTATGGTCAATATCTATTCTTGCTGCACTTATGTAAATAATCAGCCACGTTTACTAGACTTCATTTGCAAATGAATTTGTCTCATTGTGGTTATATTTGATAAAATGAGGGTGACTGTAGAAAGAAAAATTGTTTCCATAATACACTTTTATGGATATCAGATCCTGTTTCTGTTAATTGCCTTTGAGGTCCTGTTTTATACCTGTAAACTGGACTAGATGCTGAATTCTTCTAGTTCCCTCCAATATTTGGCCATAATTCTCCAAACTGGCATTTCTAAGTTTTTTTCCCACCTTTCTGACTTGGAATTATTGAGAACTGAAATATCCCTTTTCCTGAAGCTGTGCAAGCAAAAGCCGGATAGCTTGATATAAACTTTATAGAAATTACCACAGCAGCTCCTGCATGGACTGTCTTCATACCTAATGCTGTATGGCCACTCAGAAAACTCACCAGAGACATTGACACTGCAAACGAGGAAAATCTGTCAGATTGCCACTGCCTGCACTTGTTCAGTCTGAAGGTGTTTTGAGCCAGACATCTAGAAATCTTGACTGGCTGCCTTCACAACTTAGAGATTTAGATTATAGTCTGTCCCAGCCATTAACTTTTGCTTCCATAGAAATAACCTTAGTAAATTCCGGATTGTACAATGCAAGCCTAACTTTGGGAGCACACCTGTATTACTACCTCCTAAAATGAGACACAACTCTTTTCATTGAACTGACCAGTTCTCAGGGCTAAGAGACTGGTTCAGTGAGATGGAGCAATCTATCAACTCAGCTTCTAGAATGCTAAACTTCTTGGGAAGTTTCAAAGGCTGGACTGAAGGGGAGAAAAATATGCCACCCGAGAATGTGTCACTTTGGCAGGTGGATTATTTTGCACTAAAGATAATCAAGTATCCAAAGACTCGAGGGGCGCGTAGGTGGCTCAGTTTGTTAATTATCTGGCTCTTGATTTCAGCTCAGGTCACGATCTTGCATTCATGGGTTCGAGCCCTGCATAGGACTTCACATTGACAGTATGGAACCTGTTTGAGGTTCTCTCTCTTCCCCCCTCTTTCTGCCCCTCCCACACGTGTGCTCTCTCTCAAAATGGATAGAGGGTTTGGTCCTGAAAGAGAAATATCAGCAGAGGTAACTATAAAGAGTATAAGCTAGGAGTGGTGAGCTAGGGCAAGTTTAGCAAAGCCTATTTGTTCAGATTCCTCTCTGTGTCCCATTGTCTCTGTATAGCATGTCAAATATTTGTTTACCAAACATTTGCTTTTCCCATCTTCTGTAAATTGCCTTCCTTCCCTGTGACCCCTACCTCCATTCTCCTTAACTAGGATGGCATGTAAACCTTAATTACCTGTCTTTGAACCTCTCATGTATATGAGGCTCCCATATGAAAGGAATTAAATTTGTTTTCCCTATGTTAATCTTTCTTATGTCAATTTAATTAATAGACCCGCCAAAAGAACCTAGAAGGGTAAAGAAAAAAAGTTTTCTCCCCTACAGGAGTGAATCTGCCATATTGTATAATATCACAACTTTTTTGTCCTGTTTTAATTTTAGCTCTTTTAGCATTGCGTTGATTGGTCTTGTTTATTCTTTACATTCCATTCTGTTACTTATACAGAAAGTATCAATGGAGAATTCATAGCATCGAATAGATTATTTTGTGTGGCAAATAGTCCTTCATTACTTTCAGTTCTTGTGTATATTTATGCATTTCCATGTTATTGGAAAACTTGAGGTTTTTGGTAGAAAAGATTTGAGGCTCTTGGTGTTTCATTTTGGTTTTGTCATTTAAAATTATAGCCCCCTCCCCTACTTCCTATATAGTAGATGGGTACAGACTTCTAAGGATGTCCTCATACATTCTCTTGTCTTACATTTTCCTTTCCTTTACATTTACTCCTCCTCCGCAGTGATAGGATTCATGGATGTTGTCAGGGGAAAGGGCCTAATTTCTTTCTTCCTGTCATCTCAAATTAAATAATATATGTGTCCATTAAAAACCAAGTACTGGTTCGCCAAAGACATCCCTATTGTGTGAAGATATCTTTACATTAGTTGGAAAATATAGTGATAAAATCCTATACCTATCTATTCATATATCATCTCTCTGTTCATGTGTGTGTGTATCTAATTTCAAAACTTTTATTTAAAATAATAAAAATTAATGATTGTTTCAAATGTGAGAACATGCACCATAAAAAAAAAATTTCTAATTTCTTGAAAGACAAGTATCATCTTAGGAGTATCGTCTGTTTTTTGTGCTTTAAAATCATATGGATGAATCTTACTGGTGTAGGAATCATCATTTCAATGAATGACACCCATGCGGAAATACTCTGTAGAAAGAAGTTTTATAGGGTGTAGCAATAACTATTTTTATTTCTCTTGCTTTGTACAGACTTTTCTTCACAGGAATTAGAGATTTTCATTTGTTCCTTTTCCTCCTCCTGGCTTCAAATGTTTGTTGCAGAGGCAGTCTTTAAAAAGTTGTGTTCACAGAGTTCCATCAGCATTTCTTCTGAGCCACTCTCTCTCCAAAAAATGGTAAGCACCAGTCTGTTCTAGTTCTTCTAATTGCCAAAAGATGACTTCATAAATTCAACTTTAAAATGTTTTTGTTATTTCTAATAATTGGGCAGAGCTTATTAACTCTAAATCTTACAAATTTATATAAATCTATATAACCTTTCAATTCTGTGTAAGAGTGGGTATTTTCTACCTTGAAAATGAAGTAATTAGTGAATAGAAATTTTAATTATGTATTTGAGAGTAATTAAGGATTGATAACAGAAAAATAATACAAAAATATTTGTTTCCTTGCCATAGCACATAAAATAATAATTTCGGAAAGATGTAGATCCAAAAAAATTTTATGTAGTATTTAATGATACTTAAAAAGCAAAATGTGTCATTGATGCCACAAGTTATTCCTCTTTATCATATATATATATATATATATATATATATACATACATACATACACACACACACATACATAAGCTGCGTTTGATTCAAGGTTTTCCAGTTTTATCTTGTCTGTCTTTAAGATCTACTGTCTTCGGTTTCTTCAACAAATGAGAAACATGCTTGTTTATTGATCAAATTGGGCAAATACTGTTTTGCAGCAATCCTGGTCTTCACTGACTTTTGCTCTTCTGATTCTACTTATTCCAGACTTGTTTCATGTCGAAGGAAGGCATTACCAAAGTGGAAATGACAAAATACTGGTTGTACATAAACCATAAATATTTCAAATATGCAAATGAACTATAACAAGTTGAACATTAGGCTAATCAGAAGAACTTTCCTAAATGAGCATCAAAAGTGAATTTGAAAAAATAGTTACTTTCAAGAAGATGTTTTTCTTTTTACGTATGTCATATTAATGACATGGAACTAGCGGCTTTCTTAATATCTTGGCATGTTCAAATGAGAAAGGGTAGCAACCATAGTGATTAAAACAAGAAAATATAAACTAATGGTGAAATGAATCAGATAGTTTCTTTTTAATGCTTTTCCAGGTCTTTGTAGTTGAGAAAGCATTATAATATTATTTTGCAACAGGTATATTCCTATTTGCCAGCTTTGGGGAAGGCTGGTGTGCATGGGGCTGGAAAGATACAGATATCAAAGAAAATAGGACAGCGGCCTTGCCTTGAATCTCAGAGAGCCTTGTTAATGCTGAATGGTGCGAAACAGAAACAAGTGGAAGGGCTGCCAGAATTACCGTAAGTGATGGTCATGTATCAACCTCTTCAACCTTTTTTTTTTTTTTTTTTTTTTTTAAAGTACGGCCCTTTTTTGGACACATTAAGTCTTAAACTTAATATTTACCTGTGATGTTGTCTGAATTATACTGAGTAGCACAAAACTCAGTTTGAGATGTATAAATAAATGCATATGATCAACATTATTACTTTCTTTAATGCAGGGTATATGTTTTATATTAAGAGCAAGTGCTTCCCAAAAGAAATAAAACTGTTTTTCAAATTCTTTTACACCATTTTTGCCTGTGATTTAAATTACTACTTGTATATATAATATGATAAAGATAGGATTTCAGAATCTATAGTCATGTAGGATACTCTGAATTGTTAACAGTAGCTTTCCCCAAGTGAGATACCTCTTCTAAAAGTTTACTGTATAAAATTCAGAAAACCTTAAAATGTTTTTAGAAAGAATAGGATCAGAATATGAAAATAAGAATGGGGAACAAGGGCCTGCATTTGGATCTTAGCGCTTGGCTTTTTTTCTCTCTGCCAAATGTAGTTTACTTGGTCTCTTCCTCTACGTGACAGTCCACATTCATAAATTTTTCAGTGGGCAGTTGGGGGTACCATGTTATTAAAATAAGAATTAATGCATGAAAACTTATTTCTGTACATGTGAAATAAATATTGAAAAAAATAAGCAGTAAAGACGTGAATGAATAAGGGTGGGGGGGTTAAATGAACAGGGGGCTGGATTTTTGAAAGTACTCAGTATGTAATGTACACTGCCATACCTTGGTGAAAAACCAGCTTTCATTTTTTTTTTTCTTTATTTTCAGAGAGCTGAACCTTGCTAAATGTTCCTCATCGTTAAAAAGATTGAAAAAGAAGTCAGAAGGAGAATTATCATGTTCCAAGGAGAATTGCCCCTCTTTAGTTACAAAGATGAATTTTCACAAAACTAATCTAAAAGGTATTCCAAGTATCTAATTTATGCTAGGAACTTCTCATGGTTGTAGTCAGTATTTGCAAGTTTTACACACTGGCCCTGATGAATACTTGAACTTGACTAGGTCCAGAAAATACCTTCTTAGCATATTATTTTTTTGAACTGTCATTTATGCAAAGAAAGTGATTGTTTAATACTCCGTATAATAGAATATTCCTCCCTTTCTTTTTTCCCCCTGCCTCTCCAGATATTAACTCATATTGAGCTCATTCCAAATTTGCCCGCCTTACTTTTCTATTCCACCTCAACCTGTGCAGCTTGGGATTAGACTCTTTTGATTTGAAAGTATAATTCAGTCTTCATCTCTCTCAGTCCTAGACATTTTGTGAACAAAGAATGGGGAGTAGTCTATGTTACATAGCTGTGTTAAGCATATGGACTCTTTTCTCCCAGGCATTGAGCCCAGACTATGAAATGTGTTTGGCTTTTGGTTCTGACTATACTGGAACCTAAGTACCTAAAGGATGGAGTTACAAGAATAGTGCTGTAATAATTCACTTCGGCACCTCTTTCACTTAGTGACCTCTTAACTAAAATATAAGACTCTTCCAAGAGTCTGTACCTGGCCAAAGAAAATTGCGCAGTCTCTTGATACAGAGCTGTACTGTGCTTTTAATACACAAATTTTCATTAGGACACCAATGTGAACAGGAACAGTGAAGCTCTTTTAATCCTTCAACATGAATAAAAGTTCATAATTGCATTTCATGTATTTAAAATAGCTGCCCATTTAGCTCAAAATGTGAAAAATGTATTAAAGGAGAACTCCAATATTAACTGCACAAACAGTGTCCTTTTTCTTTGTTTATTGTGTCAGAAAGTAAAATGAATATGAATGACTTTAAGCTGAACAGCAGAGGGAACTGGGAGGGAGGAAGAGAACTGAGAAATAATAGAGGAAAAAAAACTTCAAAAGCTTTTCAGTGCATGTAAAAGAGATGTTTTGGTAGAAGTTACAGAGATAATCTATAAAATTGAATACTAAAAATATGCTATTTAGTATCTTATATCAAGAAAGAGTTTGATTATTTCATTTGTTTTCTAGACAGTCGCTTATTATAAGTTGTTTTAATTCCAGTTACATCAAATTATCACTACGTCTTATTAGTCTTGGTTACAACAGAGATGGATATGGACACTTTTAGCCAGCAGGCATTAATTGCATCCCTCCTAGAAAAAACTTTACCATTTCATTTGTCACTCTGTTTCAGCTTTAAATGGTACTAGGATTTTTTTTTTGTGTGTGTGTGTGTGTGTGTGTGTGTGTGTGTGTGTGTGTGTGTGTGTTTATATTAAGATTCCCCCATTTCTCCTTCTCTGTGCTGCTGTAGCCAAGCCAGACAGCCTATTGAGAAGCAGCAAACCATCTGTTAATGGATTTGAAGTTCTGAATTATACTTGAGTGTGTAGAGGCACTCGTGCTTAGCCAGAAACATTCATTTGAATTAAGCTATAAATGCTGTATAAAAAAGAGCCATACATTTAACGTAGGTTCATGAATAAATTTAAGAGAGGGCAATTGCACTCTAAACTTTTATTGCTGCAAAACCCAGTATTTTTGGTGTTCTCTGATCATTTGGAGCTTTTATAGCGGGATTGAAGCTTTAAACCTTGAACTAGGGGGAGACAATGCCTGTATTAAACCTTTTGCAGTAGAATTTCATTGCTGAATTGCTGATAGAACAGAAGCTCTATGGATTGGTGGGTATCCCTCCCCCTTCTTTTTCTTAATGCGAGAAATGTTTAAACCAGTCAAAAGGAAAACTCAATAAATAATTTTCTGGCATGTGGCCAGATCTCCTAGTTCATGCCCTTTGATTATTTTCTTTAGTTTATATCTTGTCTTCTCTGGAATAATCTATTAATTTTTTATGGCAGGAGAAACAGCCCTCCATAGAGCTTGCATAAATAACCAAGTGGAGAAATTGATTCTTCTTCTCTCTTTGCCAGGAATAGACATCAATGTTAAAGGTAAGTTTTCCATTTTTGTGGTCTGATCCAGTGTCTTAATATTTGTGGTATTAAATGGTTTTATGTCAACATTAAGAAAAATCATTTAAGTTTCTTTACCTAACATATCTTTAAAATATTACCAGTTACAAAACCAAGAAAATTAGTGATTAATAGTGCAGAAACATTTTTTGTCCATATTTTGATAAGATCTCAAAATCCATATTTTAAAACTGTTTTATTTTCTTACAGTTAGAAATATGACTGTATGTTAGACATTTTTATCAAAGCATGCTATTTCTATATGAAGCATCTAGAAAGTCACACTGATAAAGGAAGCAGAATATCAGTACTTCACTACCAAAAGTCCTACTTTTGCTGTTCTAAAACTTGCCTTGATTTCTAATTTAGACAATGCTGGCTGGACGCCTTTGCATGAAGCCTGTAACTATGGCAACACAGTGTGTGTCCAGGAAATTTTGCAACGTTGTCCAGAGGTAGATCTGCTCACTCAAGTGGACGGGGTGACTCCTTTGCATGATGCACTGTCAAACGGACATGTAGAAATTGGCAAGCTGCTACTACAGCATGGGGGTGAGTGCATTTATGCTAAACGGGTTTTGATAAATTATCCAGTTTTTTGATGAATCCCTTAAAGGTAGACAGCATTTTATGTTTAAGATCTGTAAGGAAAGATGCCTTTATTTCATATTAGTGAAAAAGGTAAAAAATCTCCTAGAACATAAGCACCTTTTATTTAATAGGGGTGCATTTTCATAATCCATAAATATTTATTTATTTTTATTAATTATAAAGCCTATTAGGTTTGTATATGAGGGTGTATTTTCAATTGAATGTGTTGATTTTAAATATTAATCCTTTTACTTAAATTGTGTAATGTCTTTGTGAACCAGCCATTTCTGAAAGCTTATTAATAAAAGAATGTAAATGTTCCATTGTGATTACTTGGATTTTTCATTCTTGTTTCATTTCTTGTATGTAGCTGCTAACGCGATTAATCTTTTTTTTAATCTTTTTTTTAATGAGTCATTTCTTTACAGACTATAAAAAAAGATAACCTAGAATATCTTTTCTTAATTCATATTTTGCAGTCACTTAAGTTACAGTAGGAAGCTTTTTTTCAAATGATGTAACTGTTGTGCAGGGGTTTTGTGATGGAGATAACTTGAGCTTAACACTCATCTGCTTTTTCTAATTTTTGATTCCTGCATTTCAGATAGCACCTCCAACCCCCTCTTAAGTGAAGTTCTTCTTATATCTGAACTGAATAGTATACACTGTAGGTTAAATTTCACAGATAACTGATTTGTGTTTTACAAGAGAAACAAAGGAAAAGTGATGACTAGCTTGTAATGCAGAAATAAAAATTTGTGTTAAATTTTCTGTGACTTTTATTTGTGCTAACTTTAAAATTATTTTCTCTTATAATTAAAGCTGTTTCATTTTGCATGAAAGTAAAAAGCATGTTTTCTTTAGGTGTGTTTCACCCCCTTCCCTCCCCCCCCCCCCCCCAATATATACCCATAAGTGAATGGTTGTATAGCTTGGTAGCTTAAGCAATTTGGTTATTTATAGTCTTCTCCTGCCCCCTAAAGGCCTTAGTGTGTCTGTTTTAGTGACACCATTTCATAATCAATATGTGTTTCAGTTCTTCCACTTTTTTTTACTATTACATGTTTACTAAACTATAATGTTCTGTCTCCTAAGTGCTTTATTTTTCTACTCAATCACGTATGTGACATTCGAAGCCAGTATTTGGCCTTGCTTCAAATGATCTAAGCGATGGTAGAGCCATTATTGTATTAAGTCCAGCTCTTTGGAAGAGAATGGGATTATACTGACCAAAGTGAATTTTTCCATGGCTCTTGGTGAAGAATAGTAAATGTTTGAGTTTATTGTCATAAGAGAGGAAATCTACTTGCAGGTGAATTTACCACAGCCCTTTGACAGTCACACTTGCACTTACCTTTCCCGTAGTCATAGTCTGACTTCAGATCTGTCAGATGGTTTAACACCATCATTATAGTAATTACATTAACTCTTCATTATGAGTTACCCAGTGTTGAGAGAAGTAATTTCAAGAGTTTACTTACATCTCTAAAGCCTTTGTTTACTTTTGGCATCTTGGGTCTATAATTTTGTTGTATTTTTTTTTAAGAGGGAATCATTTGGTGCAGTTTTTTGAAATAAAACATAATGACGAGACCTACCTAATTTTGATATAGAATTCTCTTTTTTCCATGAAATCAATCACATATTCTCACTGGCTGATCTTTTATATTAAATACATTTTATATCTAGACCACTACATGTGTTTCATCAGTTTCATCATTAGGAATTTTGGCAGCTTTAATCTATTCTCTGACAACATATTCTTCTGTTGTATGTAGGATCTTCTGATCATGTCTTCTAGTACTAAAACCTTTCTATCCCTTATAAAATTTTTATGGCAGAACGCATAAATAATTATAGGACTTGACGGGGGGGGTTACAGAGTACTCAGTGCTATGTAACCAAATACGGAGTCATTTTTCTTTTGCCCTTCCCATATTATCCTTTACTACCCAGGGGATAAACTCTTGAGTGCTTGCTAAGTAGATATAGATAGGTTTAGCTAGGACCGAAAGATGAAATCTGATTTTGACCCAGAGAAGTTAACATTTAGTTTTTTGAGAATCAGTTTTTGTACTAAAAATTGAACATAAGCAGGAATAAGTGAAAAGTGTGATCTGTGGCTATGCAAGGTTTTGTAGTCTTTAATGCAGTCACCTATTAGCCATGGAAGGGGACAGTACCTTTTTTTTCTTGGTAAAATTACGATACCTTTAAGACTCTTACACAAAATTGAAGATGAATATATTTTGTTAATATCTTCTGGGAACACTGAAATTTTTAGGTGAAGATGACAATTGATGAAGTTTTACACCCTTCTTTTAAATTTGTAGTTAAATCTATTGTTTATTGAACTAAGGCTTCTGTTTTTAGGCAAACCTAATTAGGCATTGCTGGAAAGTCTGAGTTTTTTTAATGTACCTTTATTAGGCATTCAGTTCATATAGCCAGTTAATTTTGTCAAAATGAATTAGGACAAATTTGGATTGTAAACAGAGACCTGGATGCTTTTAAAAAATAGAGAAAACAACTGTTAAGCTGCCAAAATAAAAATGTTTTAACATTGTATGTTTTCTTTTTCCCAGGCCCGGTGCTTTTACAGCAGAGGAACTCTAAGGGAGAATTGCCCTTGGATTACGTGCTATCATCTCAAATCAAGGAGGAACTATTTGCCATTACAAAAATAGAAGATACAGTGGAGAACTTTCATGCACAAACAGAGAAACATTTTTACCACCAGCAACTTGAATTTGGTTCATTTTTACTTAGTAGGATGTTGCTAAATTTTTGTTCAATTTTTGATTTATCTTCGGAGTTCCTTTTAGCTTTCAAAGGGTTAACTCATCTAAATGAGCTGCTTGTGGCTTGTAAGAATTATAAGGAAGCCACCAGTGCTCACACCGACTGGTTATTGGATCTTTATGCTAGAAATATAAAGACATTGCAGACGCTCCCAAATATTCTTAAGGAACTGCCTGAGAATGTAAAAGTGTGCCCCGGAGTGCACACTGAGGCCTTATTGGTGACACTGGAAATGATGTGTCGTTCAGTCACAGAGTTTTCGTGATGATGACAAAAACAATGAGTCCACTTTCCAAACGTAGTTAGCTTGCTTTGTCATTTCTCATGGACGTCATAGCTTATTAACAAATAATAATTGTATTTATTTATTGACAGAATTTGCAGCTTTGCTGAATTTCAAAAGCACTTAATGAGCTGCTGCAAAACTCTAAATGTAAGCCCCTGACTTTTTCCATGTTGTAGAATTTGACTCAGAAGTAAAAAGAGTTTCATTTGGTTTACGCTGTTTTCATTAATCTTTATTATTTCTTGTTCTGAAAATATTTATTTATATTGTACATGTAAAACATTTTAATTTAAATATTTTTTCAAATCAAAATGTAACATCCTCTGTTCGAGGGATTTGAGGTTTAGAATCATGACAAGGATATTCATGCATATGTGTACCTATAAGCATGTAGCTACCTGTTTTCTTCTCTGTAGGCTGTTGAGCTAAAATTACTCAGTTTAGTTTTGTTGTAAAATAAACATTTCTAAAATTTACAATAATAATACTCTCTTGGTTTTTAAATGCGGTGAATGTGCCAAGTTTGACAGTTTAATCCCTTGATCTACCTTATTTTAGCAGTTCATGTACAGTTTATTTCTACTCCATGTAATCACTATTCTGTAAGTGAAAACATATTGCTACGAACTAAGTTTTACCAAATATCAAGATTATAAGCGGTAACTAAGTAATAGATTTGAGATTATCTAAAATCTTAATGTGTAGTATGAATTTATGTTTCAATTTGCAGGTTTTTTTCTAACAGCAGTTTATGGTAAGACTGAAAGAAAGGGTGTGGATAATAACCACTTTTGAAATTGGAGTTGCTTTACTTGTGGGAATAAGTTACACTGTGGTACAGCTGAAAAAGAAACATTAAAACTTCCATTTAGCTTTTTTTTTGTAACTAAAGTGATGATCTCACAGCAATTAATCTACTAAAGAAGCAAACTTTAGTTTTATCTCAGAAATCTTTTAATAAGATACAAATTCTGAGTGTTTTATTACTGGGTTTATAATCTAACCTGAAAACTGCTACATTTCAGCTGCTATATCAGCTCTGAATAAAAATCACGGTTTCTTTTTCTATATTTTTAAATCAGTAATTTTTTACACATACTGTAAGAAATATTAGTTGTTTCTAGTTAGCCTTCAGTTGTGAAATAAAAGCCTCATTAATATTTACTTAATCTGCCAGAGTATCAGAGAAAACATGACGCAGCAGAGACTGAGGAACACTAAAATACTCAGAAAGATCTAGTAAAATGTTTCCCAACATGATGAATAAGGACATTTTTATTCCAGAGAATAGCCACTTTACTTCAGTTGTGAAGGCATTGTGGAATAATTGCTTGGTCAACTAATATAAACTTAAATACATAGTTTTGAGATCTAATAGGCATAGTTACAAATCCCTATTTAATATCTTAATAGCTAAATTATAAGGCAAGTTCCTTTCTGAGCTTTTGTTTTCTTACCTATCAAATGGAAATAACACCAGGTATTATCTCTGTCATGATAGAATTGTTAGCCTATCACCTTATATGCCTCTTAATAAATGTTGCTTCTTTTCTAACTCTTACCTTCTCTTTTTAGCTACAATGAATCACTTAAGATAGTAATTGCTTAAATAGGTGATAATTCTAAGTTAATAAAATAATCAGTGCTATGAGTTAGGGTTTTGCACGGCTTAGAAAAAGTAGTTTTCTAAATTAAATGATCTCAAGAAATATCATTTAGTTGCAATGAGAAGTAATTTTTCATAACTATCTGCCCACTTTTGCAAGTCATGATAATGTGAAATATTAAACACTAAAATGCTATTGAGGTCTCTGCCCTTAATCAGGTATCATTGTAGTTTTGCAGTGACTCAGAAGTACAACTTGGCAAACAGATTACTATGTTCTTTGTCCTAGTTAACAATATCAATATATGTATATGAATTTGAACAAATGTATGTGAATTTAAGCCTTCAATGAGAAACTTGATTTCTAATATTCCTTATGTTTTATTTTAGAAAACAATAATTGCTTCAGATTGATCTTAGAGGTAGATGAAATAGAAATATTAATAAATAAAATTCATAGTCTTTTCGAGTCCTGGCTTTTAGTTGTAAATGTTTCAGAGTTCCAACAGCTGAAGGCAAGGCTGAGTTATGCTATTCTTTCTCATACATTGCTAGATTTAATATCGTAGTTCACTAGATTTGTTTTTAAAAAATCCTATCAAGGCCCTCATTACAAGTGTAAATAAATCCTGGAATAAGACTTCTGAGCTGTTAAGATGCGCCCTTCCCCATATGTAATCCCTACAAATATTTGGAATATAAAAGGTTTTAGAATGTTTACTGGTAGCTTCTTAGGAAGGGTCTCTTTGAAGTTAAAATTTTCTAGCTTGTTAGTTATTAATTTCCCTATGCAGAATAAAGTGGTCCACGTTTATACATTTTCTGTCATTTCCTTAACTCCAAGATGACCAGAAAAGCATTTATCCTTATATAAATCAAATGTGAAATTAATCAGTGTTTTTGTCTCTTGAACACCTACTGTATTCCAGGTGGTGTGCTTAACAGGGCTGACTACAATAAAAGGAAAAAAGCTTACAGTCTAGGAAGGTAAACTAGATTGAAATATTGTTACTTTTATTGTCTTCTGTATAGGCTGTTGAAAAGCTTTTCAGTTTGTGTGTTTCTATAATGTGTAGTATATTAGATCTGAAAGTTTAATCCTTTGATCATTAGGATTTTAGCAATTCTGTTTTAGAGTGAGTATAATGTGGGGGGTGTGCTTTTGCAATCTTAGGGAATTAATACACATTCCAGGTAAACACAAATGCATTAATGCTAGGATACTTTATATAAACACCAGGAAATGTTTGCCATTGCTGTCTATGCTATTACAGAAAGTTAAATGAATACCTTCTCATGAAAACCCCATTGTTGGAATGTGCAATCCATATGCCTTTACACACCTTTCCAGTTAAGTTATGAACTTGATGAGAGCCTGTCACTGTTGCTCCTGAAGCAGTAAGAAAGGGTCATCTTTGAGTGACATGAGGCTCTCTTTCCCTCAGGCATTTATCACGCAGCTTCCACGCCAATCTCACCTCCTGCTGACGTGGAGCTTGCAAAATTCTGAATGATAATTGTTTTTATAACAAATGTGGATTGAGTTAGAAAGGTTGCGGGATGGCATTATTGGAATTAGGCTGTGCCTGGTGTTGTCAAAGTGTAGACATCAGTTCCATGGAAACATTGAATACTTAACTCTTTGTTGTAAATCAAATCATGTTATCAAAAAACCTTTTGGGTTGAAATGAATTGTGGTGGGAGGATATTCTCTGGCAATTATTTGCTCTGATTCAGAATTAGAAATTATTAGACTAAATTAATTGGAAAAGGTTGTGGGATTGTTTCTGCTTAGTTCCAAAGCATGTATTTTCCAACTATTGCAAATTTTACTAAAAGAAGACCTTTTTCAGATGAAACAAAAGATTTTTACCATCATGGATCACTAGATTTTTTAAAAAGTTTCTCGTTTTCAGTAAGTGCTAGTCTTTGAATCATGCTTTCCAGTTCATGAAAGCCTCAAGCAACAAACGCCCATAAACATCTTTGTTTCTTGAGACCCATGAATTTATGTGAATTGTTAAGAAGGGGGGGAAGACATACTAAATTAATTGAGAATAGAGGCCTCTTAATGTTTCCCAATCACAAATCCAAATGATTAGCTTTTTATCACAGAGGAGTCTGCTGTTTGGGAGTACTTTTGTGTTATAAGCAAAATTATAATCTGATATATAGATATTTTCCAATATTTTGTATGTTTGAATTAATTACTATAGGCCTTTTTTTTTAAGTGTAAGTGTATAGTTTTTGTTATAAATTCACTTACACTCTGTGTTTAAAAAAAAAACTAAAACATAACTCTTAGGACTAGATATACGTGATTTTTTTTATAATGTTGTCTTTGTACTGTTGAATATATATATTTTTTCTTGTTTAAAAGAAATAGAGTGAACCTATCTGGGTTTTTAAACTGCTTTCCTGAAATAAGATCCAGTAGTATTAAATTGGAAGGTAACCAGTAATCAGTTATTATAAAACCAATACTCCTAATAAAATAAGTATATAATTTGTAGATCTATGTAGTGTGTGTGTGTGTATATATATATATGTATATATGTGTGTGTGTGTATACATATGTGTGTGTGTGTGTGTGTGTGTGTGTGTGTGTGTGTGTAGCTTACAACATGTAACATTGCTCTTAGTATAGACCAAAAAATAAAAGTTGCTTATTCAAGCATTTACAATTAGCTGTCTCCAATTACAACTGACACAAACATTTCCTCCAGTTTTTTATCATGGTCTCCAAATCTTGTTAGGATATGAAACCCAGATTTGGTAAATACAATCTCCTTTCTTTCAAAAGCATCTGAATTGGAGCAAATGAACATTTATGCATAATGGGTGTTAAACATTAATAGAGAATGGCTAACTGCTTTGGAACATAGAATTTAGTTCTACTGAAGAATGTGGTGGGTTTTTTTTTTTTTTTTTTTAATGTAGTTAGGAATTCCAGCAGGTAAATTGCACTGAACAGAAAATCTGGAATCCAGCTTTGAATTTACATCTATTATACTATCATTTATCTTAATAGTAGATGAACTGAAATTTCCAATGATTCTCCATTTTTTTCTGTCCTCAAAATGAAATAGTCCGGTTGAAAAAATCATTAATCTTCAAGTGGTGACAGATAAAAAGGACTTAGTTTGTTGTCAGTACTTCTCAACTTAAAGGTTAGGTCAGCAATGGCTTATGTCATGACACTGATAAATTTTTCTAATGACCAGAATAGTTTGATTTATAATAGTTTTTTGTTTTTGTTTTAAGGAATATGTATCTTTGCTATCTGACTCCATCCTAAAGATGCATTTCTCTATTTTGCGTTCTTTCTTTTTTTTACAACATAGAGGTGAAATGACAGAGCAATAAGTAATAGTAAAATTAAAATAAGCATTTTAAGAGCTTTTCATGAATTTTTAAAAGCATAATTGTAAAGATGAAAACTGGGCAAATGGCTAAGGGGAAAATGGTCAGGAGTCTTTGTGGTTTAAAGGACTCAAGAGGGTAAAGATTTCTGTTGACTGAGAAGTTAATGAAAGTATAAAATCAGACAAAAAGCATATAGGCAGATTTCCTAATCTCAGGAATAAACTAACCTATCTTTGAAATTTTTGAATAATGTTCATCAACCAAAGGGTCAAGATAATTGTTTTGTTTGAGGGTCTTTTACTCCATTAAAAATAAAGGAGAATCAAAATCCCTGGTTTACTGGTATTATCAGAAATAGGCTATCTTGACTAGCAATATTCAGGCCTTTCTTCAAGGTTAGGCCAATCTAGTTTCTTTCCCCATGACTTCAGTTCCTTTACTCTTCCTTGCACAATACTTGTAAGTTCATAGTCATGTTATTGGAGGAAATGGGCTTAAGGAGAGGTTGAAAGCCATTTACAAAAAAAATGGTTAGACTGGTTTTCTCTCAATGCCATTTTTCTTGACTAATTTTTGTTCTTTTTTAAAAATAGGATGTAATTAAAAATTAAATGTAATTAAAAATTAAGTAAAATTACGTAGGGGAATATATTATAAGCAAATATGTTGCTAATAGTGGTTGTATTTGTGATAGAATTTCAAATATTTTCTTCACTTCTCCAAGTTTATTTGTAACATGATTCATATTTATAATGCCAGTAACTCATTTATGTTTTAAAGTAATGCTCCTAACGTAAGATTCAAGTCTTGAAATTTTTCTAAAGCTCTTAATCAAAATGGCATCTACTGGATTTTTAAAATATAAAGTATATCTGTGATGCCTGGGGGCTCAATTGGTTGAGCATCCCACTCTTGATTTTGGCTCAGGTCACGATCTCACGGTTCACGAGATCAAGCCCCACATGGGGCTCTGTGCTGTCAGCATGGAGCCTGCTTGGGATTTTCTCTCTCCTTCTCCCTACCCCTTCCCTGCTTGTACACACACCTAAAAATAAATAAACATTAAAAAAATAAAATATAAAGTACGTTTCTAAAACACGCCATTTTTCTTCAGTGAAGGATATAATTAAATACAGTACCATCTAATGTAGATCTCAAAAAAATATATGTGGACTGTATGCCTCACCCCACCTTTGTGAATCATTTTACTGATCATTTTACTCATTTTACTGATAAATGCTGCTTCAGTCTTCTATTCTAAGCCTCTTCCAAGTAGTGTTTAGGGTGGGGTCATTAGGAAGATTCTTAAATTATTAAAGATTAAACTTCTTCATGTAGAAACCTTGTGGAGTCATGATAACATAGCTTCACTATGAGCCTTTTCTGATTTTAGAAGTATTCATGGGACCTGAAGAATTATTTTCTGATTTTTTTTGTTGTTGTTGTTATTTTTTTCAGATTCAACACCAAAAAAAGCAGGGAAAAACTAAAACTCAATCAAGGCTGTAGCTTAAATGCATTTGAAGGGAGTTTACTACTGTGTTACTGGGCATTTTTTTTCTTGTATCATCAACAGACTTGGAAAAAACTCACTTTTTACTATAGATTTTACTCTATACAACATTAATGCAGATACAAGCAGCCGGTGTCTACTGAGAGAATTCTTACCCTCTTCTCCAGAGCATATTATTTTGCACCTCTTCTGTGAAGGCTAGGAGAATGATTGCTTGTAAGGTACTATTTTAATAGTACAATTCAAATTAGAATATTTTAACAATTACTTTATATGAATTCTGTGGATACCTGTAATGTAACCATAATGCAGTGGTGAGTATTCCAGTAATTGTTTTTGGAGGGAGATTTCTCACCTGCTTGTCCGGTTTGTCACAGTCACGGGAAGTCATGCGTTATCAAGTACTTCTGTGTTCTCCGTATCAGCTTCTAGTGCCACGAGAGGGGTGTGTACCTGCTGCCCCACCCCACAAGAGTTAGCGTGCCTGACTCTTGGCTATCATGTGCCAGATGTTTTGTGCTAACCCCCCAAAAAGGTTTTCTCTGTTAAATCTGAAAATGCATTTTTTTTTTATCCTACAGGG